TGAACGCTTAGTTTAATCAGTGAATGCATCATGCAAATGATGTTTTTTTTTAAGCCTGAACCTACTTTAATCTTGGTGGTTATTGTAGAATACAAATCAGGGACTTATTTCTAATGAATGAAGGAGAGCAGAGAGAAAAGGTGGTGTGAAAGGAACAGGCGGTGGGGGTGAAAAACAGAAGTTGTAGCAGGACTGTGCTCTGTTTAGAGCCAAGTTCATCAGACTAATAACTTGTATGTTCACTCATATCGCAGCAACCCTGCTTCGGCAAAGCAAAGATGGTGCTTTATCACCACCAAATGTAATAGTGGAAGCATAGCAAAGTAATCGATACACAATTTATTTTTCCCTTAATACTAAAGTATTTTCAGCAGAAGACAATTCGAACAAAGCTTAACGTCATTATAGTTCAAAGTGTAAGGTGACAAAGTACATTTACTTCATTACAACACTGAAATAATTCTTTGGAGGATCTGTAATTTTTGTGTTTGTTTTGGTCACAACATGAAAGTGATACTTTTACTTCTTTACTTCATAATTTAACACCTCATTACTTGCTACAAATATGACCAGAACTCATCATGAAAGAAGTGGTTTATGTGCTCTAAGAAATGAAATATTGAATTTATTTAATCAAATCATGTCATCTGGTTCCACTAAACTCAGTTGATTTATTCAACTGGCTTTAGTGGAACCAGTCGGCATAACTGGGTTTAGTTAATTTAACACAATTTTGTGGTGTAAAAGTATTTTTATTTATTCTAACAGGCATTTTTGGCAAATGAATGTAGATTTCTTGAGTTCTTGGTTGCATATTGCTTTTGTATCCAAAAGCAGCTAAATGCTTGTGGCTTCAAAATCATGTCAATGTCAAATTTATTTATATGGCACATCAAAATCAACAAAAGCTGATTTAAAGTGCTTTACAGTTCAGTCAAAGACTTGTATCAAAAACAAAACAAATAAATGGATACAAAAAAAAATCAGATTTGAAAAGACCATTATAAACTTTAAAAGCCAAGAGAAAAATCTTAAAATCAATTTGTGGGTGAACAGGAAGCCAATGGAGAGAAGCCAGGACCGGGCTTATGTGTTCATGTTTTTTAGTACCTGTTAAAAGACGAGCTGCTGTGTTCTGGACAATCTGTAAGCAACACAGAGGTGATCTATCCAAGCCAGCATACAAAAAAATTCAATAATCTAATTGTATGGTAATAAAAGCATGGATCACTTTTTCAAGGTATTTAGTAGGGATATATGATTTCACCCTGGCAATTAGTCTTAATTGGAAAAAGCTTGTTTTTACAACTGAATTCATATGTTTATCTAATTTAAAATTACCATCAAAAAGAATACCCAGATTCCTGAAGAGAGGCCAAATGAAGCTAAACGTCCAAGAAAGTTAATTTTACCAAAACTGATGACTTCAGTTTTACTTTCATTTAAGTTCAGAAAATATAGTTTCAACCATTTACAGTAGACAACTAAAAAGTGGTTCCAGTGGAGTGACCCTGTCAGATCTAATGAGCATACAGACCTGAATATCATCAGCAAAGCAGTGAAAAGTGATGCTACTTTCTGAAAATGGACCCAAAAGGCAACATATAAAGTTTAAAAAGGGGTGGACCTAAAATGGACCCTTGGGGGACCTCACAAGTCAGAGGAGCAACTGATGAAGAACATTCATCAAGGTGAAACTCCTGTTAGTCAAATACGATTCAAACAAAAATGAAACTGCCTTTGATATCAAGCAGCTGGTCAAGACATGACAATAAAATATTATGGTCCACAGTGTCAAAGGCAGCAGAAGGTCTAAAGGCACTAAAACAGCAGAGCTTCCTGAATCAACCGTTAAAAGAAGATAATTAAAAACTATCTCTCTGTTGACTGAAATATTTCACCAATGTTGTTGACAGTTAAAGATCCCTGGAGCTGATTAAAAAGAAAATGGCAGTTTAGAAATCAATGCATGACACAAGTTGTTTAATATATATCTCTTCATCAT